AGTATATGGTTTAATTCTACATCCACGTCTCAATGACTTAGAGGCCGGGCGTAGAGAGAAAGGGTCATTGAGAGAAGATCACGCTCAAGTTTCTTGGGAGAAGCCTTCAATAAAGACACCACACGAATTGGCGTGAATAACTGCCAAAAAAACGCGCCTTTCAGAAAAGCTTCTCCCTGTGTGAATAACTCATTTCCGAAGTAGTGGCGCAGCGAATCATATAAAGGGGTGTAGGTTAGGACTCCACGAGAGGTCACGGCAGCCATGTTTCGCCTCGCCGCGCGCGGCGATTGCTGCCCTGATTGGACAAGACCCATACAGTCGTGCGATTAAGATCCCGGTCCCTTCACATAGTTCTGGCATCAAGCGCAATATTATTTATTATATTATTCTAGTTTGGCAATCTGCTTGGCATTTTGCCAAACTAGAATATTCAATGGGACGTCAATTTTTGAATGGTAGCTGTATTTATTCAACAGATTGCTGTAATTCTTTAATACTACCTACATTTCCCGTCTGGCCGCAAATCTTAGGCCTTTACAATACCTTGCAAAGTGCAAAAGAAGGATTCACCCTAAAGTGAATTTTTGTAGATTGCTGATGTATTCTCTAAATATTATTTCTATGTAAATGGACATTGCTTTATACTAATAGTTGAACATCGGGCCCACTCCTTCCATAGTTTTCACACCTGCAAGTAATAAAGCAGACTGTTGGAAATCTAACGGACTATGCAAACGCCGCGCAGATAGCGAAAACATCGCGGGGCCCGCCTCTCCTCCGCCGCGTCGCGGCGGCGGCAGGCTGACCTCTCGTGGAGTCCTAACCGTTCCCCCGTGAATTATGCACACATCCCTCAAAGGATCTTTGAAGGAGAAAAGAATTCTCTGTGATATTAGTAGGACTTCAAAGCGGTCGCTCTATACTGGCACAGCAACGACGGCCACAGACTGCACTAATCAACATCAAACCATGGATGACGTCTACTCTTAAATGCACTTAGACACTCATTTTCTTTCCACTACTCGGTGATGCGAAGACCGCGCGTAGTGATGAGGCTACCCCAAGGGATTAAGGGATTATGGATCGCCATCAGGGAATGCGACCATGCCCAGCTTATTACCCAAAGTTAGCAGTCTTTGAGCACCATCTCATTTGATCCCCCGCACATCCTTTGAAAAGCAAAAGTTCCGAAAATCGACGTCTACTCGAAAATGAGGTCCACCTCTTCTTTTTATCGTAGTTGCCGTAGTTCTGCAAGAGTGGAAATGAGAAGCTGTGCAAGCGGTGGGCATCAGTCCTAGTCATTAATGGTCATTAATGGATTACCTTGTAGATTGGAGGTCTCTCAGTGAAGGTCAACTTGATCCGAAAATTTGGTTAAAGTGTCTTTCCAACCTTGCGGGATACACCAAAGCTTATCCACTTTTCTCCGCCTCTATTGCTCCATGATTTTTCAAAAACAGGGCGCAAGGAGCCGTAGCAGTTAATTTGACATGACTTGGGTTCATTTGAAGCTAGCCTTGAACACCGATTCAAGTCATGATAAGATCAAGGAGTGGATTTCCGCAGAAATAAAGCAGTCGTTTTGTTCCAGATCGACCAGTCAAGGACGGAACCATTTCGAATAACATAAACTAGAGCCAAGCTGTGTGAGAAGGGCGATTTGCATTGCCTTTCTCTGACAATCGGGAACCTGAATCGTAAAATACAACTGGTCTTTGAAGGCGGAATTTTGGAAACCTCTTATTTCTTATATTTTTACAGGCTCCTTCCCGTCGTAATGTGCGTGTTTTTGTTACTTTCTCGTTCGATCGTGACAGAGCCACAATGCAAGGGACAGCAGCTGTCAAAGCATGCGCTCCTTCTTCTGTGACTCTGCTTTGCTCCGCACTCCATCTTTCGTTGTGTTCGGTTAGTAACCCTCTCCTCCTTGATCACCTTGCTTTATTTTTTTACGCTGTCTGGAGTACTGTGGACGTCAGCCCCATCCCCCTTCCCACCACAGCGTGTTTGTCTACTTGTTCTCATCCGCTGACCTTTCCAAAACCTCAGTATACTTTCCCCGGTACCTGGGCTGCTTTGGAACCGATTTCGGGAGTTTTAGCTTTTGCATGCACCTACTCGGTACACGCCCCGCCCTTCAGCTCTATCTGACTCTTATCAAGCGCTATCCCCTTGCTGACCCTAATCCATCTTTTTCAGGTGTCTGATGTGTTTCTGAACCGAACTACGAATTTTTTTAAAAAGTAACTCATGCTCGAGATCACGCCCCGTTTAGTGTGGGCGGGTCTTAACGTATCACAAACACGCTCGACTCACGCCAAAAGATCGTCTCCTACAACGATTTTCCCAATCTCTGAACTGTCGTAGGACCGAGTGATATGACTTTGAGTTGAGCACCGTCCATCTCGCGTGCGCCTGCACGATTCGGGGTCTCTTCCCTCTTTCGTCCATCAGCAGAACTACACCTTCTCGTCGCGAGATGCGCCTCATATGCCGGGCGCAACGCGCGTTCAGAAGCATTGCCATGCTATAAGGCCAAAGCCTTTCCGTGCGCAGGTAATAGGCGCAAGCCCGCACTAGGTTTCGCCCACCCCAACCGAGGTCCTTCTTTGGGCCGTCTCCGCCGATCGAAAGCGATTTCAGGCAAAGGCTGACATGATTGCAGGACGGCACGTGAAGTGCACCAGAGTACGAAGCGGGCTGAGCGCTGCGGTGTGTTCGGGCGCACTGTAGCCGTAGTCGGAACGACGGTATACCTAAGCCCAGCCCTTCCCATCGGAGCTTGCTCCACTTCGGCTCGAGGGCGCAGTGGCTGTAAGGCTCCCATCTGTCAGCAAGGGAACCGTGCATGGAGTAAAAAATGTATCCGACGTCCCCATATGCTTGTTCAGTCCACACGTCGGCAGAAATCTGACACTAGGCCGCGACGTGTGGATAGGACATGCTTTCAATAATGTGTCAGTTCTATTAGGTTGTCCGGAAAGTTCTCAGCGTTTTGAGTGTTTCACTTTAAACGATCATAACTTTCTTAATACTCATCGGATTCAATCGAAATAAGCACCGTTCGAATCAGCACACTTTTGCCAATGTGACACCAGTCGAGAAATCCCATCAAAGAAAAAAACTGGGTGGTCGAGAATCTACGAAATCCACGAAGGCTTTTT